TATGCAAGTCAAACCATTAAATTGTAAGCGTCACCAACCAACATTAAATCAAACTTCAGAACATCATATTTAAAAAATGAACAAATGCTTTCAAAGTCCTAATGTAGTTATAGACAGTAAAACTTCAAGTAACTCCATGCAGTAGCCAATAGTTGATACAATGCCCAAACAATAATAACTTGGGTGTACATCTAATGCCAGATGGTGCTATCTATGGAAACATAAGGATAGCCCAAAATCATCAGCCTCTGGTGGGATTAAAAGTTCTATGATCAGAACATGTTAGAGACAGAGACGACGAAGATTTCTCTCTACAATCATATACACTTACTTCCCCTGAGAGCTCTCAGCGATATTGTTGAAAAAGATAAACAGCACTAACGAGCAAATAAAGTTTCTAAGGCCCAACAGATTAGGTACAGATGGAGCATGGTAACATAACTTATTCGCTGACGTGGTATGTTAATCCAACGATATATGTATGCTAATACTATACAATTGTCCATCTTAATGACAGTGTATTTCTTAAGACTGGGTATTTATGGGTCTTGCAAGTAAACTTAATAAACAGATTGACGTAGCTAACCGGATTATAAACAAGATGGATTAAAAACAAACCGGGTTTTAAAAAAAAATCTAAAAAAAAAATCTTAATGCTATTTTTTTGGAAAAATAAAAGAACTGGAACTGAATTATATCAAACCAATTCGATCCCTTCGTACAGACCAATCTATCATTTCTTTACTGAAGTCAACTCATATTCAAAATAAATGAAATTATGTAAAAATAGTTTAAAATACCCAAAAAATTGGAAAATAACAAATATTTGAATGGTTATCCGACTCAATCGAAACAGATCACATACATAATCAAAACGAACGATTTTACTTTGGCTCAAACCAAGTGACCGATGGAAGAAACCAAACAATTTACTTGAATATATATATATATATATATATATATATATATATATATATATATATATATATATATATATCTAAATTGCCTATCTCATATGTATAGTGAGTTAGGATCATGTTGTAATGGTGTGTGATGTTGTGCTTGAGTGAGAGAGAGAGTACATATAACACAAGAAGAGATGACATTTTTTTGTTGGATGAGAGTCATCAGACAATGTAGATCGTTCAAACACTAAACATTTTCACATATAAAATATTTTTTTTTGATATATATATTTGGCAAAAAAAAAGTTTTTGATACATGGTTCTTTTATTCAAGCATAAATGAGAGTGCATATAGATCGGAGAATTTATTAGTTAGGATAAGGATTAGATGCGATCATATTTATACATGATTTATCAGAGCATTGGCAGCAACAAACGCCACCAAAACTATAAATTCGACATTCACCTCCTCTGAAGAACCCCAAAGATTTGCATTTTTCCATGCATGGTGGTGTGAGTGTACATGCGTCCATGCATTTGTAATAAAAGCCTAATGAATTGATTCATCATAAACACAAATTAACAATACATTAACTATCAAAATAAACTAATTCAATATTTTAACATATTGCATATATAAATGGACTTTTGTTCTGTCTCTATTGACTTTACAGTTGGTTTTATTGTATTATTATTAAAAAAGATTGAGAAAATTTGGATTACAAAATATTTTTATGGAGGGCTTGAGAGAGTCCAGATCTAAACAAAACAATATGTTTACCTGGAAAGGCCGAATCAGTGGGTAAAATGATGAGAGCAAACACCATCATGGAGAGTAATAGAAGAGATGAAAACTTCTCTGTTGCCATTACTTTAGTTTTAGTAAATGATAGAAGAAAATACAACCCTATAAAACAGTTTGGTACAATATAAATGTTAGAAACAAGTTTTATGTAATAAGGACTTATGCAGAAAAACTAAAAATATAACGAATATCGAAAAAATATTTCTCTATGTAAGAGATATTTGGGAACTGCTAAAAGATTTATTATTCAATAATTGATGTCTTCTTCAATAAGAAAACTCTAATAGAGACTAATTTACCTCTGCTCTGGTTATTTTTTGAGAAGAGATTGCCTTGGTCTTGGTTGTGTTTGTATATGTACACAACTATATATATATATATATATATATATATATATATATATATATATTTTAATGAATCTTCCAATTATGGTAAAGAATTTAGGAAAAAATAGAAATATAGACTAAACATTGAGTATGTTTATTCTTATATGATAATACCATTTTTATCATATTTTTTTAATTGCTCTTTGCATTTTATCAAAATTAATGTTGAGAACTGATTGCCTTGGTCTTGTTTGTGTTTATACATGTACACAAGTATATATATTCATAACGAATCTTCCAATTATGGTAAAGAATTTAGAAAAAAATAGAAATATAGACTAAACATTGAGTATGTTTGTTATTAAATGATTATTATACCGTTTTTATCCCATTTTGTCTTTAAATGCTCTTGTATTTTATCAAAATTAATGAAATAAATGGTTTTACAAACTCAAAAATATGAAAATAGGAATAATGCAGGAAACACCTTACTAATGTAGTAGTATTTTTCTCAATTCTAAATTTTTATTATATATATATATATATATATATATATATTTCTTAATGAATCTTCCAATTATGGTAAAGAATTTAGGAAAAAAATAGAAATATAGACTAAACATTGAGTATGTTTATTCTTATATGATAATACCATTTTTATCTTCTTTTTTTTTAATTGCTTTTTGTATTTTATCAAAATTAATGTTGAGAACTGATTGCCTTGGTCTTGTTTGTGTTTATACATGTACACAAGTATATATATATATTCATTATGAATCTTCCAATTATGGTAAAGAATTTAGGAAAAACTAGAAATATAGACTAAACATTGAGTATGTTTGTTATTATATGATTATACCATTTTTATCCCTATTTTGTCTTTAAATGCTCTTGTATATTATCAAAATTAATAAAATAAATCGTCTTACAAACTCAAAAATATGAAACTAGGAATAATTCAGGAAACACCTTACTATTGTAGTAGTATTTTTCTCTATTCTAAATTTTTATTATACAAAATTACAATTTTATTCTACAGATAATAGATTTTATATTTTACGAAAATCACATAGTGAAATAGGAATTCCACGTTTTTATAGACAATCAATCTACTTTTATTAGATTAAATACTCAACATATAATTTTTTTTTTAAAAGCTAGATGTTTTCCTGCACCATGTGCAATGAATTTTTTTTAAACTTAAATTATATTTAATAATAAATTTTATTAATATTATAGATTTAATTATTTTTCCAATATTTAAATATAGATTTTATTTAGTTAAACATTAAATTAAGATAAAATAATTTTGTTTATTTAAAATTATATTTATGAATATATATATATATATATATATATATATATATATTTAAAATTATAATCTTAGATAGATATTTCTATCCATTTATATTGCTTAGATATATTGAATTAATGTGTATAAAATTAATAAAAGTGTTATAAAGTTGTGGAATTATCAAAATTTAAAACTAAACAGTACTTACAAAATTTGTAGATATATAAGAAACTATTGATTTTACGATTAGAAATTATTTTTTTTTTTAAATTCTAGCAATTTGTGAAAACTTTAGTAATAAAACTGTATAATATAAAAAATAAAATAGAATAATATTTAAAATTTGTAAAGTTATATTTGAATATATTTATTCTACAGATAATGTATGAGTTATTACTATATTTTAAATTTTTTAGCATAAATAAATATCAACTTTAAATGTAAAGTATGTGTTATTACCATATTTAAAAAATACCAAAAATATAAATTAATATTAAATTTAATTATCCATATCATATTTTGTCATAAGTGATGTCATCAATTATAGTAGCCATGTCACATTTTTTTATGAAACTTATTGTACAGATGACATGTGCCAAAATCACTTCAAAAATAATATACTGTATAGGAGATATTTTTGAATGTATATGTTACTCTTAGCCAACTACTCTAAAATTATAAAAATATGCAATCTAAAAATAGCTTAATTTTCTAAGGTTAGTATAATTTGAAATCGAATCCTTTATTTTATTTATACACCAAGTGAAATATGTAATCTATGGACAATTATTACTAAATATGAAAAGTGAAATATATTACTAGTAAATATACTTTTAAAAGTTAGTATATTAAAATGAACAAAATAAATATTTAATTTATTAAAATGTGTAGCAAAAAGAGTATTAATAAATTTAACGAAATATAGTTGGAGTATTTTTGTGAAATTGTTTTTGTAACTGTTCCTTTTCTGTTTGGCGTTTTTGTATTTTTTCTTAATAAGCAAGAAACATTTATTTTCATGCTTCATCTAGGTTGATGACAAAAACAAAACCATATTGTTGTTCTTTCCTTGACTACTGTTCTCAGTCTCAATAAGCAAGAATCATTTACATTTGTAAAATCTAAATTTTCTTTTAATCCCTTTAGCTACAGAGGAAAAAAACAGAGTGGGTATTAATCTAAACTAAGAAGTACAACAAGAAGGAAAGCAACAGAACCATGTATGACATGTTTTGGACTCTGCCTTTTGTGGTTTCTGCATAGCCATCTCATCATCTCTCAACTTCTTTGAAGAACTGTAACAACACACAAAGAAACCCCTGTTATTAAACTTTTCAGTTGAATCAATCACTGTCTAAAGAACAGAAGCCTGGTAATAGAAATGTACCTTGAACAGCAGCAGAAGAACCAGCTACAAGAAGAGAAGCAGCATTGGGGCATTCCGCAGCAGCACAAACAATATTTTAGCCGCTTGCAACAAGAGAGGTCGTCACTACAACTTGTCGATTGGCAACAAGAGAAGCACGAACATCTCTTCTTCTGCTGAGTAGTCTTTTTCTTCTTGTTCTTTTTTGTTCTGTTTAAAGACAACAAATAATTATAACATAAGTTCTTGTTTTCTTTTGGAATCAAAAACTATTATAATGAAATGATGTGTGTAAGTAACAAACTCACATAGGAGTTGAAACTGATTGCGTGCTGCTTGGTGCTTCGTCTGAGTTATCTGCAAGGTTCCTCCACGATATCTCCGAATTTGACGACGACTTATCATCACTGTCACTACATAACAACTCACTAGCTTTGTCCTCCAAATCAAAGCTCTTACCAAGATCAGAAGAGTCAGCAGGAACATGAACAGAAGGGCAGAAAGACAAGAGCTCACTAGATTTCAAAAGCTCTCCAGCCTTGAAATCACGGTAACTAAACAACTCATCTCTTGATATTGTGTTATCACCTATGCTGAGACTAAACAGAGAATCATTAGAAACTGCGCTCAAGTTTCTCTCCATGATCGGTAAAGAGTTTCTCTGAGGTTGGTCAGATCCTTCTTCTCTATCCATCAACTGAACAGAAGGAGACAAAAGAAGCGCAGGCTCCACTGATGATGCATGAGTCACACCAGAGACTTGTGACCCTAGTGTGTCTGATGAACTTTGCAACTCGGTTAGTTTCCTTTCTTTTGCATTGTCATTCCCTGAAGATGATGATGAAGACAAGGAAGGAGATGCAGGTCTGCTGTTTGTGATCTCTGGATCTTCCTTGAGACGATCATCACTGACCATAGCAATGCTCCCCAACTGGAACAGAACCGGTTTCTCCTCATTCCCTCCTTTGTTGGTTGGTTTTGGATCAGTTTTTTTATGCTTCTTTAGATGAAAACCCTTCCTATTATGTCCCTTCTTCTGATTCTTTTCCATTGCTGAAAATAAAATAAAATAAAACTATGTGATCTTAAACCCTTATTCTAACAACATTCTGATACAAATGTTCTAACGGAACCATACCTTCTACTTTACCGGCAATGGCTACCTCTCGTTAGTAATCCTCTCAACGTGATGATTCTTCTGTTTATTAAGTAATGATCTCTATGAAGAGGCAAACGTCTAGATACGTAAAGCAGTTACAACTTTTGACGAATAGTCAAACTTTTATCGTTTAATCTAATTGAAAACAGAGCAAAATGATAAATCCTTGAGGGTCAAAAGGTTGTACAAAATGAAAAGAATTAATCCATTTGTTTGTTTTTTTTTTCTTTTTTCTGTAAGATTTCTTTAAACGAAAGGTATTCCTACAATTTAGGGATTAGCTCAAACCTTTGCTGCTTTTGACTCCAATCTTTTTTTAAACACTAAAACTTCTCCTAAATCTAGAGCTCCCCATATTAAGAATGCCACGTGTCAAAGTACTATCTAGAGACAAGAGAGTCAACATTTTTTTTGGCTTTTCGTCCTGAAAAAAGCTTTTGTCATGTGCTGAGACCAGAGCAGTTCTTGAAGGCAAACATCTTCATATCTCCTGAAATTTCTCTATCATCTTTCATCGTCGCGTTAACGAACCTTCCTTTGACCAACACATACAAGAACGCATCGACTAGAGCATGGTCTTGTTTACCTTTGATAAAATGTTTGCACCGCTCACGTGTCCATTAATCAAAGATTGAACGTCTGGTTATGCTCTTACTAGATCAAAACCATCCTTTTGTTATAGAAGAACAAACTAGCTGGAATAGCTCAGTTGGTTAGAGCGTGTGGCTGTTAACCACAAGGTCGGAGGTTCGACCCCTCCTTCTAGCGTAACTCTCTTTTCTTTTTGAGTGAATTATTCTTACAGGCCCAAGAAAAGGCCCACACATTGGACGTTCAAGACAAAAATAACAATGCCCATAGCCAGCCAGAAGTCCTCTAGTCCCAGTTCACGCACAAATGAAAGATAGTGGCAACTTCTAATACGATAAACTGGAAAGCCTACGTATTACACTTTTTTTGTTTTCGTTAATTTTCTTATCGTATTGTTGACTAAGACGTGAGAAGCTTCGTTCATGGTAGATTACAATATATATTATAAAATATATATATTTTTCTTAGATTTGACACCAACTACTCTAGGTACCATGTCAATCGGCAATACTATTTACGTTAAATCGATGTTTAACTCGAAATCAATATGCAAAAGAAGTGTATATGTGAACATAGATGAGATATTAAGCCAGACATTCAGACAAGTTGTCGGCCAGCTAAAGATTACTTAAACATCATTAGCCTAGTTGGTTATACTGTCATAACTCTTTGTTTATATAAGTTGCGCCTGAGGAAGGTTGGTGTAAACATGTACTAGAGAAAAGGAAAAGGGGGAGATGCAAGCATTATATTCGATTGCTAATAATCAAAGAGAACTTTAAGAATCAGTTTGAAAATGGAGGGATGCGATAGAAAGCAGCAGCTTTGGAAAGAGATTGGTATCAGATTCTTGGCCACTACTAGCCGCACCTGATTCTCTAACTCGTCCCTAATAAACCAATTTGTTACAAACAAAAGAATCCAAAGATTCTAAAAAGTAATTCAACTCCAAGACTTGAAATTTTAATATAGGATTAAGGTGCAAATATTCGGGAGACGCTATACCTCACCGCCCATCTTATATTCCTATGTATGAAACCTAATAGCCGCAATCATTATGTTAAACACTTTAAGATAAGATCAATACCCTTCTCTCCTTCCAACGTTACCCAACATAGTGATGTGAACGAACAAACACGCGGAAAGAGACGGTTCCTTTGATCGTTAGCTAATAAAGCCCTCCCTCAAATCATCTCTTTTCTACAAAACCCTCATGTCTTTTTGTTTAACAAGTTCGTTTACAATATTCCAAGTCCAAAAGCAAATACAAGACATCGTCTCTACTAATTTTTATTTAGGGTAATCTTGAGTTATAAATCAATGACCAAATGCCACATGTTTTGATCATTGTTACCACAATTTATATACCATGTTGATAATGGAGACATGATGGTACGTACTAAAAGATGAAAGAAAGATTCAAAGAAACAAAACAGCATCTCATCCTCCGAATTTACAAAATAACGTCGATTTTAAGTTGTACATCCCATATTACTAAGGTAGATACTAAACCCAGCATGATGTCTCTCGGCCAAACCTAATAGTAAACCCAAGTTCGAACCCTACAAAGACAAGAGTGAAAGAAAAAAAAAAGAAGATATAGCAGCTCTATTCCGATGATTTGCGCAACCCGCAAATCAACAGTGATGTTCTTCTAAACGACAAGCATAATAGCTACACCAGTTAGTAAGAACAGAGCGTTAGTTCGGGCTGATATCTTCTCTCCAGCGTTTGGATCGCCAAATCCACCGCTCCCGGTCGGTCCAAGAGTAGTGCCAGGGAACACTGAAGATGAAGACGAAGTTGGCATTCCGTTTGCTGGTGTGCCGGAATTTGGCATGCCAGTTGAAGTGGAAGGAGTCCCGGTGGTTGGCATTCCTGAAGAGGGTGTCCCCGTTGACGGAGTCCCGGTGGATGGGAAGCCACTGGTGGGCGTCCCAGTGCTTGGAGTTCCTGTAGTTGGTGTCCCGGTGCTTGGGGTTCCTGTGCTAGGAGTCCCGGTGCTTGGAGTTCCTGTGGTAGGAGTCCCAGTGGACGGGGTCCCACTAGAGCTGTATAAGTAGTCAAAAGCTTTAGTGATTATTTGTTGTAAGATAATTAAATGATTTATTAAAAAGAATTAGCAGATAATACATCTGGATCATGTGAATGATTGTTTTTTTTTTTTATGTGCTTTTGAATTAGTAAAGGTAAAATGAACAGAAATGAAATGTTCGTTTGGTCTTAAATCACTATCATTGTGTTTCCCCAAAATCTCAAATTAATAAAGTAAATTCAGATTTAAATAAAATAATGCGTCGGTAGTAAAGAAAAAAATTATCAAATCTACCCACAAATCCAAAAAATATTTATGCTAATTAATGGAGACTGAGAATCAAACATCACTAAACTCACCAGTTCACAACACTTAAACTAAAACAACTTAACAAGAACAAATAAAGAGAAACAGAACATACCTGGAACCAGTTAAACAGCTCGAAGCAGCTGCAAGATTTTTGAAATTTAAGTTTTAATATCAGCTACTAAAAATGGAAACTCAAATCACAAAATTAAAAAGAGGGTCAAGAAGTGTATGTACTTGAGGGAGGTGAGGTAGAGATAACGGCAGCGCCGTTAAAGTCACAGGTGGCACCGGAGGAAGCTTTCTTCTGATAGTAACTGTTGACAGCGACGTCGCAGTGGTTTTTAACGGTGTTAGGCTGGAAACAAGCTCCGTTCTGCTGGATCTGAGAACAGTCAGCTCCTGCTCCACATGCATAATCTATGGCTTTCTGAAGCACTTGCTCGTTCCCGTCTTTGCATACACAATACGCAGCATCTTTTCAAGCCAAAAAAAAATATCAGACCATTAGAATTAAATCAAGACACAATCTGTGTTTTTTAAAGATTTTTAATTTTTTTTTTTTGCCGACAAGTTTTAGTAGGTTTAGACAAGAGAACTCATACTAAGTTTTAGATAGATTCATTAATTAGACACACTTTCCAGAACTGACACGAGGAGAATATAGTGACAACATGCCAAATTTCAAATGAAATCTTGAATAAAACAGAGGAGCTTACTTGAATAGGTAATCATGGAGAGAACCAGACATAGAGGAAGTAAAACAGACATGACTGTGTTGATTTTTAGTCGTGAGAGAAGAATCTTTTAGGAAAAGAAGCTCAGATCCAACTTGGTTTTTAGGCTTCAGAGATGTGCTTTGAGAGGAGTGTCTTTGAAAGAGAGAGAGAGAGAGTTCTAGACAATAGCGGCAAGTGTGACGGGGTGTTAATTATAGACAACCATTGTGTCCAACACTTTCTCTCTTTTCTGCTACATATTTTAAAAGATTTATTTTCTTAAAAATCATATTAATCAAAATTTTTAAAACAACAATCAGTAGTACGCTTTCACAGTAGGTGAAAATAAAAAGAAGCTCAAGTAGTTTTTCTTCTTTTAACAAAAGTGTAAGGTAAAAAATTGAGTAAAGAAATGGTAAAAGGGTACGTGAACCAATGTTGTTCTGCATATGAGGAGTAAAAAAGTTAAAGCATTTTTGTCTGGTAGTGTTATGTTTGTGAATAAAATATTCGAAAGATTATTAGTAAAAAGGGTACCAGAATTCTGCTTTATTTACAAATTGTGCCACCTCGATTTACGTATCTCAAATGAGTTCTTTTGAAACACCTGTCCCCTTGTAATAAACTCATTTTATTTAGCAACGGTCAAAAGGTAAGCCCATAAATATGGGATTAGTGAGAACTGAGAACACATTAACAATTGTTATAACCGACTATGTACTTTTATTTATTTTTAATTACCAACGTTTTATAATATAGTTTTCAAACAAACTTGATTTATACTTTTTCTTCTACAAAAACTACACGTACAAATTCTGTTCATCCACTCCTCCCAAAATTTTAGACTGGAATTCTTAAAGTACACATTTTAAAGAGATGCAGTTTTAAGTATTTTATTGAGGACATGACCCAACGGTAACAAAAAAATAAAGGAAATAAACTCAGAGCACCATTAACCCAAAAAACCAAAAGGGTTGCTTAAACTTTTTTTTTTCTGATTACAAAAAAAAAAAAAAAAAATTAAAAAAAATTGACCAATCGCGGGCCGCCACGTGTCAGTGGGGCCCGCGATTTTCTAAGCAACAGACCAAATCCGTGGCTTATTCAAGAGCTATTGGCAGCGTTGTTTGTTTTTCTGCTGGACCCCACTAATTATTATATAATTTTTTCTTAAGCCACCTCCCCCTAAGCCACGGGGTTAAAGGTGCTCTCAGAGATTGGGGACTGAGCCATGTGCTCAAGACAACCTTTGCCGTCATGCTACGACACTTGGCACGCCTCACACAATTACACACGAAAGTAGTACAGTTTTTTTTCTTTTCTTGGTTTTTAAAGTAATTTTCTATGTTTGTGTGGACACTCTTGAAAGCAGTATAGCTGGTGAAAGTCGGTGCCTCAGCTTTTCAGTGAAACATATCTATCAAATAAGATTTCAATTTCGAACGTTTCCGAACGATGACTTTTTGGGTTGTCATGTACCCTTAGCCCATAGAAAATTGTTGGGCCGTTACTTTTATAACATATGCGTTTTGTAGTTACTAAGGATTTCCAGAGAGCTTGTTATCTGGATGTATTATGAATTGTGAGCACGGGGTATGTGTCTTATTTGAAGTTTGAATATCAGAAGTTATGTTTGTGTCGTTAAGTAATAAGTATGCAAAGTTATTGTAGGTTTCAACATTGATGTATATTTTGATTTTGTGGATTGGTGTATGATATGAAAAGTGTGTGTAAGATCTGTTCATTATGATTGTATAACCAATAATATATTAAATTTATTAAAACGATTCATATAACCAATAAGACTATATTATGGAGGGATGGCTTTATGGTTTAGCACAAGATAATTGTCCAGTAGGAGTGAGAGCTGGAGCCAAGTAGGAGTGAGCGCTTTGTTAATCTTCTTGTGTTGAAAGGTGGTGAGGCTGAGGACGGCTGGGGGTATGATTGCAAAGGTCCAGTAGGAGTGAGAGCTGGTGCCAAGTAGGAGTGAGTGCTTGGTAAAGTCCTTATGTTGGATGGTTTAAAGAAGGTAATAGAAGAGAAGATTGGAAGAGAAATGAAGATTGATGAAGTCTCAAATATTCTTGCTATAGTTTCTCTTTTAATAGGTTTTTCATAAATTCAGAATAGGTCACACATTGTTGTAAAAAGGACTTTTTCTTTTTGAATTAAATTTAACATTCAATTCAAAAAAAAAAAAAAAAAAAAAAAAAAAAAAAAAAAAAAAAA